CCCCGACATCTCCGTTCCATGCCACAAGTATCAGAGCCCTGTTCTTTGGCTTCTAGCTAGGACTTCTGAAATGAAGACAATACAAAAACCAAACCAGGAATTTGCAATCAGAAAACAAAAGAAACCTAAGTGTATCATTGACTTAGTTCCTTTTATGTTTCCAAACTAAGTTGTCAAGAAGAGAACTGTTGTATCTAAGAACATATGGTTATTATTTGGTGGGGGGCAGGAGAATACCTAGCATACAGCCCCAAGAAAATTTTTAAAGAAACAAAATTGAGAAGATTTTTAAAAAATCTACTAAATTACAGAATCACAGGCAGATTCCTTCCACTCCATAAGTGATCTAAGACTATTCCTTCGTACAATGGTAGCCAAAAAAACTGGGTGGGGAGCAGGGGAAAGAAAGCCTAGTGTTCACAGAGAAATAAAAACAGCTTACAAAGAGGCAATGAGGTTGAATGACTAGCCCAAGGTCACACAGTCAGTCTCAGGCAGACCAGGAATAGAAGGTAGGTCTGTTGACTCTCCTTGAGCTCCTACTCCTTCAGAACTCAGGGCCTGTTTGATCACAGACTCAGCATGGGTCAGATTCACACTGATCTCAGCAGGAGCTTTCTGCCTGAATAAAAGCCAGCTCTGAAGATAAAAAAAATTCTACAGAAGTCCCAAATATGGTTGTTACTATTAAAAAGCCATCTTCCTCTAAGTTTAAAAAAAAAAAAAAAAAGGCACAGAAAATCTCAATAGCAAATCAAGATTTAATATTGATCTTGCTCCTTCTTCCTCTGAGCACAAGAGTTTCAGGGTCCTTCCCTCTCTAACTTCCTCCCACTACAAAACAGCTTTGAGGCAGCAGATCCTACACCACCCCCTCTCTTGGAATATGTATTATTTCTCAGCAGGCTCCGGCAGGAGTTGAGGAGCCAATCTGTGAGGGAGTGAACGCAAGATCTCCCATAATAGCACCGAGAAGACAGAAAATTGCTCCCAAAAGTGTAAATTGCCTTTTTTTTTTTTTTTTTTTTTGCTTGAAAAATAAAAATCACTCTGGGCTTCAAAGACACGCTCTTAAAAGATGACTCCATGGTGGTTAATATCCATGTTCTACACATGAGGATTTCTGTTCATCCATGCCCTCCAAGAATCCCTACTGTCTATGTAACTGTAGCATGGATTTGAAGAGTAAACCACCAAACACAGGGGCAACAGTCAGGGAATTCTGCGGGGTCAAAGGAAGGCTTGGCTGTCCACTCCCCAGGGAGTCTGAAAGTACTCCTTTTGCCGCTGACCCTGAAACGGCACTGTGTGATGGTGAGATGAAGAACTAACCCTTTATAGTGACAGAGGCTAAGGAGAGGAGCTGTACCTTGCAGAAAACAGAGGCCCTAGCAATTCAATGTCAAAGCAAATAAGACCTCCCACCAGGTTAGAGGAATAAAAGCAAAGCGATTCTCTGAGGAGTTATGTGTGAATCCTCCTGGCTTTCCTTCCTGATTGCGGAGAGAAATGCGCCAGCGGATGTGGGCAGGTAAAGGCAGATAGTCCAAACGGTGGTGGAGAGCATGAACCCTGAAGCCAGAGGAAATTCAACTCCTAGCTCTGCTACTTACTGGCTCTGGGATCTAGGGCAAGTTCATCTTTCTGAGCTTTAATTTCCTCATTTTACAAGTGGGATAAGGACTATATCATAAGCTTTACATGAGGATTAAATGAGAAGAGATATAAAACACCGTACACAGTAAGCCTTCAATAAATGATAGCTCCAATTATTGTTATTAATTAGCAGGGCAACTACACAATAAAATTCAGGGACAGGAAGAGACACGACGAACAGCACAATACTGGGATGCTTCAGTCAAATGGCTGGGGAGTCAGAACCAAGTGGAGGAAAGAAGGCAGGGAGGCTGGCAGGAAGGGAGGACACAAGTTCTGCTACAGAGAAGTACGCATCCATAGCACAGGGATTTACTTCCCGGTGTTCCTTCCTTCCTTCCTGTGCAGTGGCTGGAACCCAGGCTCCCTGGGCTTCCAGACAGATGGAGGACAAGCGGCTGAATGGAAAGAATGCCAGCAAGGAGACATGGGTGTAATAATCCGCAAGCCCCGGACGCAGGGTCCCGATTCACTCCCCCATGCCCTGCGCGGGCACACCCACACTTCCCTTCTATCTCCCTTACACGTCAAACTCTCATTCAGTACTGTCAGCAATACAGAAGCCTCTGGGACAAAACTCTGTTTGGCTTACTGAAATGGTAAAACACAGAACATCAATGAGAGAATTTCAGATCAAAGGCAATCTGCCCTGAAGTGTTAATTGGAATTAACTGAGCCAAACGGCAGTTCAACACAAACCAAATGGAACCAACAAATATAAAGTTAAAGTTCAGAAAGAAAATTTGACTCCATTTTCTTCTTTCTGTCAAATTAGAACATGCTCTTTATTGTACCAAAGGGCTCATTATACCAAAAAAGGGGCCATTCATTGTACCAAAAGAGGGTTCTATCAGTGCCCAGTCCAACAGATTCCCTGCTGACATCCATGATAGCCTAGCTCGAAGGAGACAGCTTGACATCTTGGTTGCTAGTAAAGAAACTATGCTTCACGACTGCCTTGTCAAAATGACATGAAGGTATCTGCAATTAAACTCTAAAACCAGCATCTTACACTAAATAGTATCTTTAAAGCAAGCTAATCTCTTCATAAGGTCCCTGTATTCTTCTACTCAATGTGACTCTGACATGTAACCATGAAGACAAATGGCTGTGTTCATCCCAGTCAGGTTCCTCCAAGCCACATAACATCTGCTAAGATGTCTGCATTACATTGGTCTTGTCTGAATGCGCTTTCTGGGGAAGAAGAAGGTCTAGGGCTCTGCTGGGCCTGGATTTGAAGGAGCTAGAACTAGTTTAGAGAGTAGGAAGAGAGAGTGCCAAGGAGATAATTTAGAGTCTGTCGAAACCAAAGGTCTGTGCAAAATGGTAAAAACCTGGTCAAGAACTAGAAAAGATGTGGATTTAGGCTCCCATCATCACTACTTTAACTAGTCTCCCACACTCTGGTGTTGATCTACTTCCAATTAAGGCAGGCAGGGGAGACTTCTAAAATGCAAATTTACTCCAGTTAAGGCAGGGGAGACTTCTAAAGTGCAGATCTACTCCAGTTAATTCCAGTTTACAATGCTTTCATGCTTTCCCATTGCCTCAAGACAGAGCTCAAACACCTTAGAAGGCCTATAAGTCCCTAAAGGTTCTAGATTGTTTTCTTCCTCAACTCTCGTCTAGAGCTTTTGCACAAGTTGTTCTCTACCCAGAACAACACTACCCCTGCTCTGCTTTGCCTGCCTTCTCATCTTTCAGATCCCTGTTTATATATGACCTTTTTTGGTAAGCCTTCCCTTATCCTCCAAGACTGACTTGGGAGCCTTCCTAAAGCAACCTAAACTTCCCTTAGTCACAGCACCTGTCCCACAGCATAAGGTCCTGGTGATATGCTTGTTTCTCCCACAGGGATAGGAACAATGTCTGTCTTAGTTATTACTATATACCCAGTGAATAACACAGTGCCTGATGCATAGTAGGTCATAAGAAAAGAAAGGGAGGGAGTGGAAGGAAGAAGAGAGGGAGGAAAGAAATGAACTGCAACTCAGAGGGAGCCTGTTCTGAGAATGGCTGGAAGGTGAGTTTGGAGAAATTTCCTGAGGCTTTGCGGTTCTAATGCAGGGTGCCTGTGGCTTTAGCCACAGTAGACAGGAGATAGATCTAGGCTGAGAACCACAGTTCCCAAGGGAGAGAAGCACCAGGAGATGCAGATGTGGGATAATGTCTGGCACTAAGAAACCGGCAGAGGATGTGGGGACGGAGAACAAAACAGAAGAAACTTTGTTGGTTTATAAATAAAACCAAAGGAGTACTGAATTTTGGTTCCAGTAAGGTAACTTTGGACAATTCATGTACCTTCTTTCAATGAGAAATTTGAACTAGATAAGTGATTTTCAAACTGAGTTCTCTGGAACCCTAGGTTTCTGCAGAACACCATTCTGCAGAATTTATTGAATAAATTCAATAAAATTTACTGTATTGAAGAGAGAAGGTTCACCAATGTATCTGGCCCCAAACTATAGCCAGAGAAAAACTTTGCATATTGGAGTTCTACTTAAAGCTCGTTTGAAAAAAAAAAAAAAAAAAGGTGGGGGGGGGCACATCTGTTAAAACTAAAGCTTGAATAGCAGCAGCCTAAATGAACTCTCCGACACCTTCCAACCAGAACAGTCTTTGACCCTGTATGACACAGGACCCACCTGGATGTTTTATTCTACTCTGTACTTGTACAAATATCCCTGGGCTGTGTGGATGGCAAAGCTGCAGCATGTTCTAGAGCCTGTTCTCACTGAGCAGCGTGACAGCAAAGGTAAGGAAACCAAACTCTAGGGTTACTGCAAGGCTGAGGCAATAATGAAACACACTTCCAAATTTCGTGTGGTGATACAGAAGCAGAAGGGAGCATCTTTTTTTTTTTTCCCCTAAACTAAGTTAGGAAATGTAATACCAATGACCTAGGATTCACTGTATCAGTGTCTCCAGCCAGTCACAAAGTTGTTATACTCAGAAACAAAGAGTATTGGATCTAAAGCCCATTAAAAAAAGCAATCCAATTCTAATCAAGAAAGAACAATGCAAAAGTTTATCTAGGCAGTCCACCTGATAGCCTAATTACCATTCAAATATAGTGCCTACTCTTCCTAACAAGGTATTCTGAAGTTACTGTCATTACACACTTTACAGTCCACCTTTATCTGAAGGTTACAGGCAGGAAATGGCACAGATGGGGAGGGAGATGGGAATCTTAGAAAATAAGATTTTCACAGCCCTGGCTCAAGATGCTGATCCCTTTTCTGTGCTGTTCTTTGGTTGTCCATATTTCATGGGGCATTAAAAGGTCACAAACGTCACTCTACTTCAATTCTGAGAACAGACTAGCAGCAATAATGTGATCTTACCTGGGTCCTTCCTCGTCACCCTGAAAGAAGCAGAAAGAAACAGAATTAGAAATCAACAGTGGTGCAGACAGTTTTAGATTTCTTTCTTTTCCCTCTCCTCTCACAACCTGAAAGCAAAGCTTGTGCATTTACTTTAACAGAGACAAGCCAGCAGGTGTCCAAGGGCTAAGACAAGGGCTAATATAATCATGTGCTGGAAATGCCCAGCAGAGATCAACTGATAATTTGCCCTTGCAAGCAGATAAGTGAATGCACAGGTAGGAGGCCTAAATAATAGACTTGCCTTTTTATTTGTGTGGCTGGCGGTATTTAGTTCTGAGCAAACGGAGAGCCCAAAATAGCTGTAGGTCTTAGGCAAAAGCTGACCAGCTCCAAAAGCATCAAGCTGTTTCCTTCAAAGACTCATTTCTGCCTTGGTCTAGCATTTTTCTCTCCAAACATGAACACAGCAACTCAAATATAGGGCACACTGTGGTAAAAAAAGGGCACGGAACTGGGACTCAGAAAATTGGGATTCTAGTCCAAGCTCTATTATTTATTAGCTATGTGCCCTTGGGCAAGTTAATTAATTAATCTGAACCTTGGTCTTCTCCTTTAGAAAAGGAGAGCTCTGGCATTTGATGATCTCCAACATCCTTCTGCCCAACACTGGTTTTTCACTTTTTCTCATTCACCGTCTGCAAAAACAATGTGTGTGGGCTATCTGTGCAGGTACTGCGTGCTCTGAACCTAACTTCACCAGTGACCAAACCAGAGTCCTTTCACTCCCTTCTTATGATCACACACAATTTTTCAAAGGATTCTGAAGCCCTTTCCAAGGGACCCCACTCCTTCATTTGGTGATGGGGTATTTTACATCCTTTCTTTTTAGCCTTTCAGGGTTGGACTCAGTAGAGAATGTAACTCCTAGTTGTTGATAATTCCCCAGGACACTTAATCGATTTGATTGTTCTTATGGGGATAAAGAATGAACTCCAGAGTCAGACACTCTAGGTTCAAATCTTGACTCCATCAACTCACTTGCTGTGTTATCCTGGTCATGTTTTTTTGCCTCGATTAACTTTCTACTTTGTAAAATGGGGGTAATAACAGCCCCTGTATCATAGGATGAAAGGAGGATTAAACGAATTAATACATACAAACATCTAGCACAGTGCCTAAGACACAGGATGCACTTAATAGAGCTTAGTTTCGCTATCTGTAACAATTCAGTATCATAAGCTACTATAGGTGAACAGTAAGGGTAAAGGATAAGACCTAATCTAGGAACTCCCATTCAGGAGCAGGAGAAACACAGAGATAAAAAATGACTTATGTTAAGGGCTCTACCAAAGACATAAACAGAATGTTTGAAAGTCAGAAGGAAATTGATAAACACAGTTGCTTCTGGAGAAGGAGGAAGAGAGCACTTCACAGAGAAGGTGATACTTATATTGGAACCTGAGGGATAAGCAGGTCCCTGGATGGCAACAGAGGATGAGTGGGAAGGGCACTGGACTAGCAAGAGCAAATGCACAGCAATTAAAAAAAAAAGGTATGTTAAAGGAATTTTGAGTTTGATGATACTAGAGAACGGGGATGTGTCTGTGTGTCTCGGATAGGGGTTGTGGCAGAGACGGCAGTGCTGTGGGTTGGAGGGCTGGTAGTGCAGTTGAGGTAAAGGGAGATTGCCAGGCCCCAAGCCTATAAGGACAGCTATAGCCAGAAAGGTGATTTAAGTCAGATTATACACTGGACGTTGGATTAGGAGAGCATTTGCTAGACCGGTCAGGATTTGCAGTACTGGTCAGGGTGCTAATCATCCACACTCTAATGAGAGAGAAGCGGGGCGGGTAGTGGAAGGAGGGTAGAGGGATGCTGAGAGCTTTCTTTGCATTTTGATCGAGTGGATGTCTTATGGGAACTATAATCTAGCAAGAAAAAATTCATATAATTTAAATTTAATATGACTTACGTAACTATCAGTGACTTAATTAAACCTCAACACAAGTTTTCAATTATCTTTGGGTACTCAAACATAATTGTCTAGGAGAATCTTATGGAAAAAAGTACCTAAACTTTCTCCTGTGCTTTAGAGTCCTCACAACTGTGTGTCTTGGTACAGGGGTTAAGAGATGATCTCTCTGACATACCGAAACATGGCTTCATATTTACGTTCATCAATTCCAACGGTAAAGCTTTTGACATTTGCCTTAACTTTTCGAAGGTTCAGTTTCCTGATCTCCACATGGAGATCCTAATTCCTACCTTACAGGGTGGCAATATGGATTAAAATAAATGAGAAAATATGTAAAACACTAAGCAAATGTCTGGTATACTGTAAGTGTTCAACAAATGGTGCTCATTATTGTATTTTCCCCTGAATTAATTACTAACATCTCTAGGGAGAGTGAGGAAGGACAGAGAAGATGGGATACAAGACTGCTTCAAATGCATCCATTTCTGCAGCTTCCAGATATGTGGCTGTTCAGAAGCAATAAGACTACCACAAAGCATGGGGGAAGACTAGGGTGAGAGTTTCACTGGTGAAGGAATGAATAAACAAATGAAAGAAAACACACACACAGACACACACACAGACACACACGGCAATTCTGAATAGGTCATCAGACACTCAGAAGATTGCTCTTCCTTGTAAAAGATGTGCATGCTATTCCCTCCTACTCTGAAAGCCTACATAACTCCTATCCATTCTTTTTTTTTTTAAGATTTTTGTTTATTTATTTGACAGAAAGAGAAGGAGCATAAGTGGGCAGAGCAACAGGCAGATAAAGAGGGAGAAACAGGCTCTCCACTGAGGAGAGAGCCCGACGTGGGACTCGATCCCAGGACCCTAGGATCATGACCGAAGCTGAAGGCACTCTCAACCAACTGAGACACCCAGGCACCCCCACCACCACCCTTTTTTTTTTTTTTTTTAAGATTTTTATTTATTTATTTGATTCCTATCTATTCTTGAAGATCAAGCCTCACTTGGAAATTTTTTCTCACTGACAGACTGTTTTGAGTGTAGTGGAGTAATCAATCCTACTCTGTCCTCCACAATCATACTACTGGGTTGGTACTTAGAGCAGAAAACCAAGTGACGGCACCATACAGTGTCTCCCTCTTCGGATTTCAATCCCTTGAGAAAAGAAACTGTGTAACATTAATCTCTTTATTCACTGCACCTTACACAGCACAAGGCCCATAATTAATAATTATTCAAAAATGGAAAGGAGGGAAGGCAAGATATAAGTAGGACTTAAGATTAATTTCTACCCCCCCATTACAAGTGGATCTTGGTTTCAGAGAATATTAAAACTGAAAGTTTGCTAAACACCAGCTTCTATTTGCTGAACACCGGTTTCTATTTAAATGACTTCTCAGGTTAAGCAATGTTCCCAAATCCCTCGATCAATTATCCTCAATGCTCTTGGCTGGCAGGCTACATTCTAGTACCTTGCCACCTTGTTGCTACTTCCACCAGTGGAAATGTCTGTTCACCCACAACCAAATAATTTTGCTCCTAAGGCTGTTTAAATCAGTTGAGTTTGTAATTATTACAACACATTTTACTAAATAACAAAAAAGTGAATGCAAGAGGGAACCACTGGTTCCATCCAAACTAAGCTGAATGCTTCCAAAGCATTCAATAAAGATGAGTTACTTAAAAACTGCTGTCAACTTTGATGCAGGTGAGACACATGCAAAATATTAGAAAAAATAAAGTATGAAAGTCTAGGATTCCACATTCAGCTTGCTTCGAATGTTATCCTGAAACTGGACCTTATAAACAGTGCAGTAGGGATGTGGTTTATGTCAGAAAAATAACATTCCACTCCAAGCAGCAAACCCATACTCTCAAAGGCCGTGAGTCGAAAATCAAAGAAATATACAAATGTGTATCTCAAGTTTAAAATATATGTTTAGGGTATGCACATATCATTCTTTAAAGACATTTATTTATTTATTTATTTGACGGAGAGAGACAGCAAGAGAGGGAATATAAGCAGGGAGAGTTGGAGAAGCAGCGGGCTCTCTGCTGGCAAGGAGCCCGATACAGGGCTCAATCCCAGAACCCTGGGATCATGACCTGAGTTGAAGGCAGACACTTAAAAACTGAGCCACCCAGACATCCCTGCATGTATCATTTTTAATGATTTGCTCATTTGAACTTTTCCTAAAAATTATCTCACGTTGTTCAGTACTTTTCTCTCAAAACTAGACAAAAGATGGAAGTATCATGACATGCAAATAAAAATAAAGACACCATTTTTTAATACTGACTTTGGCAAAGAAGTTATAAAATTCAGGCAAAAAAATGAGAGACTGTCAAAACTGGTGATGAAAATGTACACTGATGTAACCGTTCTGTGGACAGTTTACAAATATGTACAAAAGACTAAGAAACATCCATACTTTTCACTTAGTAATTACATATGATTTATAAACAAAGGCATGAACTATAATGTAATAAATGGCATAAGGAAGTTGGAAATAACTTAAAATAACATAAAAGTTAAGTTTGCACCATTGATTCGGGATTCATACATTATGTTTCTGGACAATTTCTGGTAATATGAAGAAAATTTAAAATATAATGTTAAGAAAAAAATAGCATGAGGGGATGAAGATATTAACTAAGCTTACTGTGATAATCATTTTGCAGTGTATGTGTATATCAAAATCATCACACTGTATACCTTGAACTTACATATATGCCTATTTTATCTCAAAAAAAGTTGGGAAAAGAACAAAACACATAGACTAAAAAGAAAAAAGAAGAAAAAAATACCTGAATCAATTTAGTGTGTTTGCTTTCTGCTCTGTCTATAAGTTTTTAACATTCCAAAACAAGTAAGAAGGAAATAACTTTAGTTATTTGAAGAGGAAATAGACCATATCTCATTAGGCCTGTGGGAATGGTATTGAAACTCCTCTTCTACGCTATATTCTCTAAGAGGACCCAAAAAGATTTATTAAAAACACATTTTTAGAAAGAAATGTGACCAGGAAACCTTGTAATCTCTGGACTTCT